AAGCAGCTCGCAGCTCGCAAATACCGTATTTCTGGAGCCGCGAATCAGCGTGTGAACGCTCGGCCGCGAATTTGTCTCAGATACGGTATTTCGCAAATCCGGTATTTCAGAAATACGATGTCTCGTGTAAACGAGGCTTATGTGACCGTTTTTGTGTTAGCTGGGAGCTCATGGACTAAGAGACGCGCGATAGGTTACTTCCACACCCGCCTCTAAAACTCTCAAATAAACAGTCGCCGGTAAAGTTAAAATATATTCTTGTGATGGCTGTGTCATTGTCAGAACGTTAAACGATGAATTTGTCCGTTGATAATGCCAATAACGTAAATCGTGATTTTATGAAACGAGGTGTCTAGCGCAGCACTCGCAATTTTGCTATTGCTCATAGCACATAGAGTCCCTTAGTGTTGTAAGTTGGCTAGAACTAGTGAGTGTCGCATGCGCATTTTTTTCTATAAAAGCATTATATTTAAGCATGTATAAAAGCATAGCTATAAAGCATGTATTAAAGCATCTCTGGTAGATCTGCTATACAGTTTTACAGCCTATAGAAATGTGCAATGGGGGAGCTGTGCTCGTACGTTGAGGTATCGCCTTTCGCCGTTATCTTTCAAGACTTGTTGCTCAAAGCTGAGCCAACGTTCGATGAAGACCAGTAGATATATCTTACTATACGTATATACGCATATGATATATTTTGGTGTAAATTGAGCTTAATGCAAGAGTATATCTGTCGCGGGCGCATATATATATATGCAGGGAAAACATATGCAGGTTGTCTTGTCTGTGTGCGTGCGTGCGTACGTGCGTGCGTGCGTGTGTACATGTGTGTAAGTGTGTACTGTTCGTTACCTAAAAAATTTTCACGTTGTTAGCCTAAGGTAGAAGGAGTGGTTAGATTGTGAATCTGCAGCTTGCATTGCATAATCCGGAGAATCCGGGCTGCAAACATAATTATGTGATTTGTTGGAAAATTTTGTTGGGACAAATAATGTTTGGGACTTCACCTGAAAGTGTGCGTTTGTTTGTTTGCGCGCGTGTGTGTGTATGTACATCTCAATTCATTACTTCAATAAACCAGCTAATAAAAAGTGGTTATTGTTCAGCAGGTTTGTGTAGAAGCGGAATTGCCGTAAGTAACAACAGTTACACATAGAACACGCGGAATTACAACAAGGCAACAGCAGTTACATGATACAAGCGTAAATGAGCGAGTAAAGTAACCGAAATGCAAAGAGAGAGATACAATAGATTAGTTGACATAGAATAAATGTAACAAGGGCAACTTTACATCAGAAAGTAAACGTGACTGTAGAGCAATGACGCTGCAAACTACAAACATTATACAACAACCGTCAGAAAGCACGAAGCATTGAAAGAACAGCTGACAATATTTAAGCAACGCCCCAACAAGGTTATGTATTTCATTTCATAACATCAAGAGCGGATAATACCTAGAGTGTACAACGGAAAAACGGTTGACGCCCAATGACCCACAGTGGATCGGCGCGTGGTGGCTAGGCCTTCCAATATTCTCTGGCATCACGTTCGCCTGCGCTCTGCCATTCGCTCTGTTTCCTAATCACCTGAGATCGAATGCGACAGCTCACAATGTAAGTGCATAAGCTGTGTTCAGTGTGTTATTATCGCAGCCCCTGGACAAACCTACCCCCGAGGTAGACGTTTCAGTGTGAGATCGTATCGAAAATGCTGGTTTCTCTTAGGTTAGATACAGTACGATTCATCTATCTCGACAAGAAATTGTATTGCAGATTGCGTGTGATAATTTTGTAGAGAATGTTTTTGTGATTTGTTCGTGATGTCGTGTCCACATGTGTCTTTTTTGTGTGCGTGATTTTTTGTGGTGAAAGGTACGTCAGACTCCATCATATAGACGACTTTATCAGAAACCATCAGAAGGATTGCGTAGTAATTTTGATGTTAAACCCGGTGGAAATGAGTTCCATCGAGTGAGAAGAATATTCCCTATACACGTGTGGATGTACGATTGTGGCTCTTAATTTCCTGCAGAAGTCTAATGTAGCGGTAGAGCCCATTGACTCTGACCTGCAAGAACACCAGGAGGACGAGGAGATTGTTGAGATAATATACTACCATCCGAGAGGTATAAACACCGCCACATATATCCTATAATACACTTAGATACCCACAATAACTGTTATAATATGTACTCACGATAACTATTATATATACTCGCAGTAATCACTACATATTCTACTCTCGTGTAATCAGGAGTCGATTAATTGATAGACTCCTGGTGTAATAATAATTCCTGCGTTTTATAGAAAAATATCAAAAGCTCATAATCTACAGAAGAAATGCGTAATTAAATTCATCATGGGTAAACCGAAAGTAGTAGACGTTGAAATTGCAACGTTTTAGCGTCACGTACTCTTTCCGTAATTATGATCTTTCTCGTATGTACGCACGCGTTGCTCTAACCTTGCAGAGTTTCTACGCGCTATGCGGCGTCTGCTCACCAACGGTCTGTACGTCTGCGTCGTGCTGGGCGTCTGCTTCCAGTTCTACAGCATCATTGGCTACTTCGCCTTCCTGCCAAAGTACCTCGAGTCGTACTTCGGCACGACGACGGCCGTCTCAAACATCGTCGTGGGTGCGTACTGGTGCGGGGGCGCCGCCGTCGGTTATACTTCGCGCCGCGCAACTAACACCCTACTTGACTACCCTTGCCTACAACTAACACCCTACTTGACTACCCTTGCCTACAACTAACACCCTACTTGA